GCAGTACGAGGCGAGGCACGTATACGCGTGTGCGGCAAACATTACACACCATGTACCATATATGCATGAACAGCGCGGGGCGCATACTAACTCATTCAACATCAGTGCGCGGCGCAGGCATCTAGCTAGCTGGCGCAAGCATGATCATAATTGCATGCCATCACGCAATCAGCGCACATAAATCGCGCATCAAATAAATAAGTAATCAAACACAAATCAACACATCAACTAAATAAATCAACGAGCTAGCAAGAACACAATTCAAAAATGCACGAAGAAATAATTACTATTCTAGTCGGTTATTCGCATGGGACCAAGCGCAATGTCCAAGCTGATGAACTGTGATTGCACAAGGTAAGCCCAAGCTCCTGAGCTAACCGTTCTGGTGAGCAGTCTTCTTCGTGCTGCAAACACACACTACACAATGTGTCGTATCTCGTAACAAGTATTGTACCAAATCAAAACGAACACTAACAATACGCAATAGTAAACAATAATCAAAAACACTACGCAAAAAGCAAAGCAAGCAGCACCTAGCCAGGGAGACAAGCAGGAGTCACGGTCGCAACGAGATCTCGACGACACCCCAGAAGACCTTTCTCCGACACGATACACAACAGCACTCGTATCCACGCGCTCGGTCAGGTCCATCAGCTCTTCCACAGACGATGGGATTCGATCTATATCATCCGCAAAACGTAGGTTGGTCACGCACATGCCGCCGATACATACTGACCCATCAAACTCCTCCAAAGCGTCAGACATGATGTACTGCAGGAATACGTTGAACAGACAAGGCGAGAGTAAACAACCCTGCCTGACACCCACTGATGTGGTGAACCAGTCGGTGATAGTGGATCCAACAACGATGCAGCTTCAGTAGTAGCGTAAAGCGCTTCAATCAGCTCCACAATTCTTGCTTCGATGCCATGCGCTCTCATAATCTTGAATAGTGCTTTGTGCCAAACCCTATCAAAGGCCTTACGGAAATCGATGAAGCAATGATACACAGCCTGCTGATGGTCACGGTACTTTTCAATTAACATTCTGAGGTTGAAGATTTGCTCCACTGTGCTTCTTCCCTTCCGGAACCCTGCTTGCTCGTCCGCCAGCAAACCCTCCACTTGCGGCTGCAGGCGCTTCAGCAAAATCCTCAGTAGCACTTTGCTCGGATGACTGATGAGGCTCACTGTCCTGTAGTTTTTGCACTGCCGAAGGTCTCCAGATTTAGGGATGGGAACAAGAATGGACCTTGTCCATGATGTTGGCTATCTACCAGTCGTCCATGCGAGGTCACAAACCCTGTGCATAACAGCCACCAACGTATCTCCACCATGTCGCAAAAGCTCGCCAGGAATGTTATCGAACCCCCTCTGATTTGTTGTTCTTGAGGGAGTTGATAGCGTATTCGACTTCGGTCCTCAGAATGGGATTGTTGTTGGCATTATCTGACATGGCTGGAGTAACGATTGCGTCAAGGACTTTATCATCTACGTTCAGGTCCACGTTGTACAAAGATGCACCGTACTCACACCACCGCTTTGGTCCAACCGACTACAAGCTCACACAAACCAGTGGGGTGATATTTTACATTGCAAGAAATATGAATATAGGTGAAACAAGAGAGAAAGAAAGACTATCCGTTCATCACGGAAGGAACAACAACAACCAGAAAAGGAAAACATCGAATAACCAAGCAGCGCAAGCGAAAGCCCAAACGCTCTCCTCAGCAGAACGTGCACGTACAAGTGCACCTACAGCGCACCCGCAGCAGTGCAAACAAAGCCACCGTACTGCACTAATCTACATGCATCAAAATAAGGACACCACATGCACTCAAAAAGTAGACCGATCTGCATAAGGGTACGCGACTAGTAGCGTCCGCGTAGCCGTGCCAAATAAATGCAAATAAATCGAACCGAAAATAAATCAACTAGAAACACCGAGTGCCTGCCTGCCCAAGTTCTCAAGTCCTTTTATTACTATAATTATGGCACTCCGGTTGCACAACAACCGCTGAGCTACTTCTTCCTTTTTCGTTTAAGTGGATCCGTCTGCTGCTTTGATCACCTGCATTGCTGATCCTGATTTCTTGCTGCATAGACTCTTCAGAGTTAGGTATGCTCCGTGGGGGTTGCGGTTGGCGATGTCATCTTCAATTGACTTGCATTTATTGTGTAGCCAATTCTCTTTGTCTCATCGGATTAACCGCTTGGTCTCCCGATTCGCCACACGATACTCGTCCTGTGCCGCAGCAGAACCAAAGCGGCTCCCTCTCAATTGTCGGCGCGTATCACACTGCCCTAGGCATTCATCTGAGATCCATGGCTTTCTGGGCTTCTGGGTGGTTCCTAGGATGGAAGTTGCCGCCTCCGTCAAGATGTTGTTAAACTTATTGACAATATCATCTGCATTCTCCATCTCCAGCAATGGACGGAAACGACCACCAATCTCTGTCTGGAATGTCGATCGTATTTCTTGATTATTAAGTTTATTGATGTTGAATCTCTTCCTGAAGGACGGGGGTTTGAAGCATCGCTTTAGCTTTAACTTGATGCCCATCAGCACAAGGTCATGATCACTCCCCACACATTTACATTTAGCTGTGCGGAAAAAAAGCTCGTTTGTTGTGGCTTCCTAATCAGCCCATTGCGCATTGCCATATATGGGTTGTATGAGTAATGCATGTGAGTACACTGGGATCAGCAATGCACTGTTCAAGACCCCAGACGACCATGCCCAGGTGGCTGTGTGGGGTGTTATGTGAGTACGCTGGGATCAGCAATGCACTGTTCAACACCCCAGACGACCATGCCCAGGTGGCTGTGTGGGGTGTTATGTGAGTACACTGGGATCAGCAATGCACTGTTCAACACCCCAGACAACCATGCCCAGGTGGCTGTGTGGGGTGTTATGTGAGTACGCTGGGATCAGCAATGCACTGTTCAACACCCCAGACGACCATGCCCAGGTGGCTGTGTGGGGTGTTATGTGAGTACGCTGGGATCAGCAATGCACTGTTCAACACCCCAGACGACCATGCCCAGGTGGCTGTGTGGGGTGTTATGTGAGTACACTGGGATCAGCAATGCACTGTTCAACACCCCAGATGACCATGCCCAGGTGGCTGTGTGGGGTGTTATGTGAGTATGCTGTGATTAGGAATGCACTGTTCAACACCCCAGACGACCATGCCCAGGTGGCTGTGTGGGGTGTTGGTAGTACAAATTACTTCATTGCGCAATGGGCTTACGTGTGGATGAAGCACAAGACAGCAATGGAACTACTAGTAGGCTGCTGGATGGTGATGGCAAGTGAAATCCGACCCCAGCTCGGTGCGCTCACGCTGCAAAAATCCAGCACACGCCTGCACCTTACCGAGTGGAGACCGCTAGAAGCGGTGCTGAACTCGAGCACGAAAACCAGGGGTCGCATTTCATGTGCCACCACTCCACTAGTTTTTACCACTGCCCTCATAGGGTTTACCGGGTGTTAGCGGCCGTCGTGAGTTCCCTTTGGGAACGGACACGATAATATTTTTCATTTTATTTTTTTATTTTTTTACTGCCCTCGCGGTACGGAGGACTTGTTGCGAGGGTGTTAACAATATAGCCCGAGTGGACGGAATGATGTCATCGATGCGGTTTGCTGCAGCGCACACTCTTTAGGGTGATGCTCCTGCTGATCATGTGGTTCAATGTGGTTCTAGTCTTTATCACGTCAGTTGGTGCCGCTTTAGGAGCTGCGTCTGCGCCATGATCCTTGAAGGGTGATGGCGTTCCGACGGATGCGCAAAACTCAGCCTCCGGCCAAGTCTCACGCGAGCTGTGAATTTTTTGATGTTGCGTTGTACAGTAAAACTTTCGCTTAAAAGAAAAACTACTATTGGATAAATAATAATAATAATAATAATAACTTTATACCTATCGCAGTACGTCTGGACCAAAAAGGATGAAGGGAAGGCATGCAGCATTCAATGGGCGGTACACCGCAGAGCAGCGGCCTACAGCAACAAAAGCAAAAGGTGCAACCTGTGCCTGGCGGAAAAATTGGCAATCGCGCAAGCACCCAAGCACCTCTCTCTAAACAAAAGGAGTGAGCTTGTGTCGAAGTGTCGCCATGAGAATAGGTACTACCTTCGGAACTTTAAACCAGCTACAGCCATCACCTAATTAAGTAAGAGACAACAAGCTCCAGTGGTTGTCACCTTTCACCACTTGCTGTCATTCACGCTTTGCACTGCCGCTATTTACACTTTGCTTTGTGAGGATATAAACCAAAACTGATCCAGATTTCCAATTACTGTTTTCTGATGATCGCTTAGTGCGTGAAACTCTGAGTAAAAACACTTCCTCTGTCCTCCTATTGTTTTAATAACTTTATACCCGTAGCTATGCAGAAGACGTTACTTCAGTAACGTCTGGCGCTAGCCAGGGTCCACACAGCTTTACTTTGGTATTTGTACCTGTCCCGTACCGTACCATCCAAGACGGCTGGCCACAATGCATATTCAAATAGGGCTTTCAAATGCAAGATCATAACGTGAAGCAACTTGGAAGAATTAGTATGTATGCGAAGTGTATCAGGGGATGCATGCAGGGCGATAGTGCGGGTTCGAATCCCAGGTTATGTCTTAAAAAAAGGAGAAATTGATAAGAATTTATAACATCCCTATGCTTTTTTTGTCTAGGTCATCAAGGCAAAAAAGCATAGCGTAGTAGGGCCCTGAGCTTCCAAGCTCTCTCGTTAGGATGACCCAAAGGCTGACCGCCTATCGTGGGGTCGGTCACATTGAAGAATCACTGTGTATTCATGGGTATAAAATAGGGATATGACGAACTCTCGTCACGGCGAACAAGTACCATCGGACCCTTGATGTTCGTAATAAAAAAAAGGTTTGACTGTATTTAATTAAAATATCACATTAGTTGGAGTTGTAAGATTGTTCCTTTGCTGTGCCTGTTTTTTTTTTTTTTTGTTCCGTGTTGACTATTATGCAGAGTACGTTAATTTCCAGGAACATGGACACCGACTGCACATAACGTCTAGCAACGGTCAGCAGCTGGCACCGAAGGGTAATATAGTGTGTGTGTGTTTATTTATTTTTATTTTTTACTAAAAGCCACATGGTGCACGCAATGGGAACATGCAGCAGCCATGATGGTGTGTGTGCATGTGTGTGTGTGTGTACGTGTGTGTGTGTGTACGTGTGTGTACGTGTGTGTGTTCGTGTGTGTGTGTGTGTGTGTGTGTGTGTGACGCATTCATGTGTGTGCATGCATGTGCGTGAGTGTGCGATGCACGCATGTGTGTGCATGCGTGTGTGCATGTGTGCACGCGTGCGTGTGTGTGTGTGTGTGTGCGTGTGTGTGCAATGCTTTGATTTTGAATAATCACTTGATGTTGAGCTTAGAAGTATAGTGACTTTGTGCTATATTAGAAAATGCAGTTGGTTGTTCCAACGTGGAACACGCAGTCATGTGTCAAGTAGTTCAGGAGACAGCACGTGTTCCAGGGGCGTAACTGGTCTCTCCCCCCCCCCCCCCTTTAGAGTGGTGCATGGCCGCATATGTGCAGGATGTAGGATGGCTGCTGAGTGTCATTCACGGTCATTATGGGCATGCTGAACCTAGGTCGAAGTATTTAGCGGGTGGTGCGCGCGTACCCCATGCGGGCTACATAGCTGTGTTTCATGTGGACACTACCAGCTGCATTTAATGGAGGTTGAGCACGGCAAAGCACCATGCCCGAAATGAATGCGTCTGCAGAGCAACAGCAATTCCTGTTTCAGGCGCGTGCACCCCCTTAAAATGTCGACCTAGGTTCAGCATGCACATAATGACCATGAATGACATGCACCAGCAATACTACACATATGCGGCCCTGAACCCCCCCCCCCCCTCAAAAGGGGGGGGGGCAGCTACACTCCTGGGCCACTGTTTCATAACTCTCGTCTGTTTGGTGTTTTCCTTTGCGGCTTGCACTGTGCTCTCGTGCTTTCAGTGTGCGCACCGCGTACCGCAACGCACGGATGGCAGGCGACGTACAGGGACGGTACGATCCGCTGCCCGGTGGGACAGCTGTGGGTGTGCTCGCAGTACAAAGGCACGCGCTGTCCAACATTCGAGGACCGGATGAAGCAGCTCCCGGTCTGTCAACATGGTCAGCGTGTCAACTACGCAGAGTGCATTTCTCAGAGTAAGATGTTTATTTATTTAGAGCATTCTTATTTATTTATTTAGAGCATTCTTATTTTATTTAGAGCATTGCTGGCCTCAAGCGAAGAGAAAGAGAGAGAAAGAGAGAGAGAGAAAGAGAGAGAGAGAGAGAGAAAGACACAGAGAGAGAGAGACAGAGAGAGAGAGAGAGAGACAGAGAGACAGAGAGACAGAGAGACAGAGAGACAGAGAGACAGAGAGAAAGAGAGAAAGAGAGAGAGAGACAGAGAGAAAGAGAGAGAGAGAGAGAGAGAATACTCCAACCATCGTGTTGCTACCTCTGCTTTCCTCCTTTCTGTCTGACAGCAAACCGCGCTACAGGTGTCACCATCCCTATCGCTCATCTGGATAGCATACCAAGACACCACTTGGACAAGAGGACGGGTTCGTTCAAGTGCTATTGGCCGATGTTTGAAAGCTGCGGCGACCCGCCATGTGCCGGCGGACGTAATCGCAATCCAGCTCTATTCGCCAGCAAGCGGCAGGGAAGTAGCCGGATTAACTGGTACAAGAATCTTCCAGCTTGCCTGTATCTGGGTAAGTTGTGCACACTTTTTCCTCCATGCTTATGCTTCCCTCCCAATTTGGTGCGCCGTGCCGTTCAAAGGTGCCGAGACCTCTGGCCGGTTGATCATGGCAGACCTCACCAGCACCATCTCACCCATGCTAGCCACATGTGCGTGCCGGGGAGTTTGTGTACCTTGTAAAAAAAAAAGAGAAAGTAAAAAGTCCTATCTCAATCTCCGCCTCTCTCCATGATCGTTTCTCGAAGGTGCTTTCCTATTGGGTGCACATATTCCTTTGTCCCTCGTGCCGGCGCACATGAGTAACGATGAATCCCGGACCCTTGGTGCGAGGAGTTACCTCTGCCCCACCCCACGTCTATCCAATAACATGCCACCTCCCCGCTGTGCAGCATCTGATGGCTCTGTGATACTGTATAGCAGGAAATTTTCGGACGGAAATAATTTCGGACAAAGCCGAATTTCGACCTTTCATACTGGTTGGATTTTCGTACAGTGCTGCATGCTAAATGCACGTGTTTGCAAGCAGTACGCATATAGTGTACATAATTTCACATGAACAAATTTTAGTACGGAATTAATTTTGGCACAAAAGAGACCGTGTACAAAATCGTGTGAGAATAAATTCTGTCCGAAAATTCCCTGCTATACAGTATTGAGTTTAAAAAAAAACACGTCATCATAAAACGGGAGTTGTCACCCGGCATAAAAAAAAAAAAAAAAAGTAAATTATCGTATCCGTTCCCGAAGGGAACTCACGACGGCCGCTAACACCCGATAAACCCTAGCGGCACAGGTGATGTGTTATTCAGGTCCTGAGCTGTTGCGCTGCAAAGGGGATTTCATTGATCAGACGGCACGGAGAAAAAGAAAAAAAGAAAAAAATGTCACGGTTTGCGTGAAACTTGGCCAAAGGCCCAGTTTTCCGCATCCGCAGGAACGCCACCACCCTCTTGGATCAAGGCGCAGATGCAGCTGCTAAGCGGTGGGAGGTGAGTAGATCGGACCCACCACAAAGTGGTCAAAGACCGAAAATCCCATTCACTGCATCCATGTTTCCCTCGTGCCAGGCCACGAGTTCCCAATTAACTGTGGGTCGCGGCACAGCTGGAAAAAATCCTTCCGCTTCCAAGCAGGACTTGAACCTGGTATCCTCTGTTTCTCAATCATGGTCTATGCCTGCCTCGGAGAAAGCAATTTAAAATCATTGCAATCTATTCACACGACTTGAAAATGAACGAAAACACGTTTGTATAAAAGTGGACAGGCTCCCCATCGAATTCACACGGACAACAGACCTGTGCAAATCTCGCATGCGTCTGCGTGCTCGTGTAACTTGAGTACCATGCTCAAGTACTCTCGCTGTTTTTACACGCACGCAAAGCACAAACTAGAACCCCCGATCAAGTTTGTCAAGATTTTGCATGCGCTACAGTCCATTTCAAAACTATAGACGAGTACCTAGGCAAAAACCGTTATGCCAGCATCTATACCACATAAAATCTGTGATCACTTTGTGCATACATTTTTCCAAATTGGGCGTCTGTTATCCAATCGTTTAGAAACTACATGTATATGAGAATAATTGTGGAGCGGACCTGAGCAATATTCCGAAAACGTTTCTCAAAATGTTCAAGCCAAATTTGAAATATTTCAAAAACACTGCGCGTCTATAGTTTTGAAATGGACTGTAGCGTCACACGAGTAAAAACAGTACCACACACGTGAGTTTTCGCGTCGTGTGAATCCCCCTATAATGGGCCATTCACACTACGCCCAAAACGTGGCGTACGTGTGACGTTTTCGTCCGGATAGCCATCACAACATGGAACGTGGCGGGAAAATCGTACTCCTGATACGAAAACGTAGACGACGTATCCAGACCCTGTACCGAGTTTCGTTCTGTCATTCCAAGAAGTTTGTGTCCAAAAGAAGCTCGTACACACAGCTGTACGAGTAGCGTATGCGTGCCTGTGTGAATGCACCTGCATGAAAACGACGTCTGCCAGTACGTCGTATTCCAAAACGTCACGCGTATTGTAACGTAGTACGAATAGCCTATAGGATGGCCGTCACCTTGTTGCAGGGCAAGTCACCCCATACTTGGCAGGTGCAATCCATTCTAGTACATTTATGAGTATGACCTCACAAAGTTCATGACCTTTTACGCAGAGTTGGTATCAAGGTGTGTACAGTAGTAGTGGACTTGCCCCGCAAAACCTAATGACGGGAAATGGATTCATACGTCCCATCCCCCCTGGTTCCAACTCCTAAAACCTGGGGTGCTTTGTTCCAGGGGAAGCTCTTGGCGATCACGCACGGTGTTGTGTTCTCTTCTTGCATGTCGTCACCCCCTGCAGAATCGCTGCAGATCGGCCATGTTCACTGGTATCGCAGCAGCCAACCAACCACATACGATCGGGCAAGCATGGCGTGCGAGAACATGGGCACAAGACTGATGACGTTGGACGAAATGCTTGCCGCTAAGGATCTGATCGTCACGAAAGCGACAAGCGTTGCCAACCAGTTCATCTGGGTCACCGACACTGCCTCCGGTCGCCCTGTCACGATCAAGCTGACGACCGGTCAACACGGGAAGCATACGACTGCACGCTTTATGTGCCTAGCATCACGTGAGTAGCATTGGGGGTGGGGTGGGGAGGGGATGTTTGTGTGTGTGTGGGGGGGGGGGGGAGAGGATGTTTGTGTGTGTGGGGGGGGGGGATGTGTGTTTGTGTGCGGGGGGGGGGGGGGTGTGAGTGAGAGAGAGAGAGAATGAATGAAAGAGAGAGAGAGAGAGAAAGAAAGAGAGAGAAAGAGAAATAGAGAGAAAGAGAGAGAGAGAGAGAGAGAGAGAGAGAGAGAGAGAGAGAGAGAGAGAGAGAGAGAGAGAGAGAGAGAGAGAGAGAGAGAGAGAGAGAGAGGAAGAAAGAAAGAAAGAGAGTGAGAGAGAGAGAGACAGATAGTGGGTGCGTGTGTGAGAGAGAAAGAGAGTGGGTGCGTGTGTGAAAGAGGGGGTGTACTTGTGCATAGCCCCCTCACCTTCACGGGCGTACTGACTGGCGTACATAGTATTTAAAGAAACCGAGTGTATTGGCAGCGGATAGCTGCACCAACTATGCAATACAATTCTGAGCACTTACATAATCAAGTATTTTGCAATGCAGTTCTGAGCCCCTCTATAACAACTACCTGTACAAAATACTATATCAGCGTTGGACGAGATTGGTACTCTATGTATGTAAATCCATCTTTTATACAAACGTCCATTCAAACACGATCATGAGCTTAAGAGTTGTCGTTGTCGTTGTCGTCGTCATCGCTTCCTTTGCTGGTGTTGCCAATGCGGATGCTGCTGCTATTGCTGTTGTTTCAAATCTTTATTCTCACGATAGCCAGTGGCCAAGAAGAGATAGTAGTGTAAGAAAGGAGAAAGAGTGAGGAAGAATTGGGTGGGCAGGGCCTAGGGATTAATGGTGTTGTTGTTGTTGGTGGTGGTGGTTTGCCGCTGCTGCTAAGCTTGAGCTATGTTGTGATATCACCCCCTCCCCCCTCTACCCATACCCCCAATCCCCACGCCCACCCCCGATCCCCCTCCTCCCAATCCCACCTTTCGGGTCCCCTGCACGCCATAACTCTCCCGTTGCTTTGCGACCGTCTTGTTTTTGGCACACTGTTGCCGCGTCTGCTTGTCTATCGTCGTCTCTCAGCCAATGCACAGGTGAAAGCGCAGCGCTGCTGGTCAGGCGACTCGCTATATTTGGCGTACAACCAGGGCAGCCATTACAAGCCTGCGATCGAGCACTGCGCCCACCGTCGCAAGTCCAAGATCCCGCCGTCGTTCCTGCACTACTGTCTGGACGCGCTCATTCGCTGGCAGCCGTACTACGAGTCCTACTGGTTCCTCGGCCACCGTACCAACAAGCACCACGCCTGGGGCAATGACCTGCTGCGGCACAATGTGAAGACGAGCCTGCCGGTGATGTGCTGGAGAGGTAAGTTTGAAATGTCCATTCATCCAATGACCCCCCCCCCCCCCCCCCCTGAAATGTCCATTCATCCAATGACCCCCCCCCCCCCCCCTGAAATGTCCATTCATCCAATGACCCCCCCCCCTGAAATGTCCATTCATCCAATGACCCCCCTCCCCCCTGAAATGTCCATTCGTCCAATGACCCTCCCCCCCCCCCCCCTCTGAAATGTCCATTCATCCAATGACCCCCCCCCCCCCCCCTGAAAAGTCCATTCATCCTTAATTAATGAACAAGGTCTTTTGGCGCTTCTGCGATATCTCTATCAAGGCGATTTCCTTATCAAGGGCTTGTCTTTCACTCACCTTGTCCATTTCTATCATTTACGAGTTGTGAATGAGAAATTTAGTAAAAAGAAAAGAAATCAAAACTACTCTGATACTGAGCCAGTATTACATGTAAAATGGAAGAAGAAAACACATTTTGAACAAGTTATGCAGCAACTATTCACGACTGTAACAAGATGATGAACAGTCAGAAAGTGCGATAATAGGTCCTACGTAACCATGAACCTTCCAAGTTGGACGGCTGTTGGTTTGCGCGCCGGATGTGTGTTAGAGCTAGGTCTCAGGTCGCAAAACCACATCCTACACACTGATGCGGAAACGCGTTTTAAAAGTTACATCTGTTGCAAGGAGTGCAAGCTTCAATGTCTGAAGAAGAATGCCGAACATTGACTGGTGGGATGACAGCTACACCATAGCTTAATGGTTCCAGCATTGCTGGCCTCAAGTGAAGGTTCCTGGTTTGAGTCCTGGTGGTGATTGATAAAATAGTTCTGTACAATACTAGTGTTTGTCGCCGAAGTTGCACCAACCTCTTCTTCACAATTCATCCTATTAAATTCTTAAAACTTTCTTAATGGAACTGCCAATGGCCACGAAAAACATGTTCATTTAAAATAGGATAGGGATTTGCACAAAATTCTCCAAAAGGGCAGAATGTGCAAGTTAGGCTCTAACAATGTTTGCTCAACACACACGCACACACGTGCATGTGTGTGTGTGTGTGTGTGTGTGCGTGTGTGTGCGCGTGCGTGTTCGTTTGTGCACGCATGTGTATGTGTGTGTGTGTGTGTGTGTCTGTGCACGCGCACATGTTTGTCTCTCCGTCGACACTACCGGCACAGAGCGCGCTGAGGATGACCCACTGATGGTGGAACATGAGTGCAGTACGTTCAAACTCTACCATATGATCCAGGAGCAGCGCTCTTACCTCGACGCTTGGATAATGTGCGGCAAGAGAAACATGGTCATCCCACCGTCCCATATCAATTCCTGCATTCATTTGTTCGTCACGAAAATGCACGAGCGACCGGCGTGGGTTAACACGCCTCGACGTGCGGTCGGCACCGTTTCTGGCTGGGGAACTCCGCATGTTGCGAACGCACGCACGCCTCACACGGTGATATGTGCCAAGGGTAAGAGCAATACAATGTGGACGAGCATTCCCCATTCCAACCAACCAATGGGGTCATACCTCTCATGACCAGGGCATACCTCTCATGACCGAGGTCATACCTCTCATGACCGGGATACCTCTCATGACCAGGGTCATACCTCTCATGACCGGGGTCATACCTCTCATGACCGGGGCCATACCTCTCATGACCGGGGCCATACCTCTCATGACCGAGGTCATACCTCTCATGACCGGGGTCATACCTCTCATGACCGGGGCCATACCTCTCATGACCGGGGCCATACCTCTCATGACCGAGGCCATACCTCTCATGACCGGGGTCATACTGTAAGACCAGTAGTGTTAACGAAAATTTAATTCTAACGATTTAACGAATTTCAACAATTCGCTAACATTTGATGTCGTTACGTAGAAAAACGACATGTACCTGTAAAGTCATTTGCCGGTTTTGACACGGAATTCGTTAGAATTTCACGCCGCTAACCCACAGAAATTCGGAGATTGTTAACTTTAATTGATGTTAAAATATCTGGTCTTACAGTGATACCCTTAAGGGCCATCCGTGAATACCGATATTTATTTAGAAACGAAAACTAGTTATTTCTCTTCAACCCTCTCCCCCTTCCTCAGAAACGAACACATACAGACGGTACATAGTATCGATATGTATTCTTTTTTTCTGGACGTGCCCACACATACAAGCTGTACATCAATATTTTTGGAGAAACGACAGGCGCTCAACCCCCTCCCCCCCCCCCCCTAAACGACTAGTTTTCGTTTCTAAATAAATATCTATATTTACGGATGGCCCCCTAATGCACTTCAAAGTAGAATACTTATCCGTAGGAGAGACCAAATACGGTATATAGTGCTAAGTATTCTCTTTCCGATTTATTTATTTATTTATTTATTTATTTATTCAACATCTCCTGGCCCGTCCGAAGACTGCCAATAAACATGAGAGGTCAGGTGATAGCCAACCACGGCAAGCTAAAAGGGAAAAAAAGAAAGATGCTGTCAGAGAGGGAAAGGAGATAGGGAGAGAAAAAGAAAGGGAGGCACATTAATAATACATGGGATCACTTCGGATGAGACAGTGTGGAAAGCTGGACTGTGAATTTCCTGATATCCTGGCATGTCTTAATGCTAGTAGGCAGGTTAGACCAAAGGGAGTATGCTGAGAAGAAAGGGGATTTCAAAAACAGAGAGGAACTAGCTCGGGGCAGTGATAAGGCATTGCGTGTTGGTCTAGTGGTAACAAACCAGTTGTACTTGGCAATATGTTTCGGGACTTGGGCTAGGAAGATTTTTTGCACAAGGATACAAAGATGCTGCTGATGTCGGGCAAGAAGAGGGTGCGTGGAAGCAAGTTTATAAAGACAAAGGGAGGCAAATGTTTGGTCTTTTCGAAACAGAATTTTCAGAAGCAAGCGTTGATGTACCTCCAGTCTGTGGAGTAAAGTCTGAGACAACCCGCACCAAGCTATATCGCAATAGTCAAATATAGGCAAAATGTACGACTTAAAGAACAATTCTCTGCAGTTATCATTCAAGTGTTGGCAGTGGGGTTGTAGCATACCTAAGGACGCACTCGCACGCTTGCACACAGACTGGACTTGTGGAGACCAGGAGAGTTGGCGGTCGAGAATAACGCCCAGGTGCTTGTGCTCGTTAACAACTTTAATAGGTGTACTATTTAGACCAGGAAAATACAGAAGTTGAGTGGGGGGCGAGGGAGAGAAGAACATGGCCTCGGTTTTGGCGAGGTTAGGCTTCAGTTTCCAGGTTTCCATCCATGTTACTGTAGCGTTGACCCCGGACTGCATGGAGGCCGTGAGGTTGTCTGCCGAGCTGTCGGAGCACATCAGAGCAGTGTCGTCAGCAAAAAGACTTACATTTGGTACAAGGGCTGGCAAGTCATTAACGTACAGTAGAAATAGGAGCGGCCCAAGTATGGACCCCTGGGGTACCCCAGACACGACTAGTAATGGGTCTGATAGGGAGGTAGATACTCTGACAGTCTGGTGGCGGCAGGAAAGATAGGATGAGAGCCATTGCAGGGCTGGACCGTGTACCAAGAAGACGGACTCTAGCTTTGCAAGCAGACCACGATGCCAGACGGTGTCGAAAGCTTTCGCTAGGTCAAAGAACACGATGCCAACATGCCGCCTGAGGTTCCGCTGGGTGTAGATGTCTTGTACTAGACGTGTTAGTTGGAAAGTTGTGGAGTCTCCACGGCAGAAACCGGATTGAGATGGTGAAAGCGCTGGGGTGACGTGGCAGTACAGAGACTCAAAGAAAATACGTTCACAGACCTTGGACACAGCGGGAAGGAGAGAGATTGGTCTGTAGTTGCCAGCCTGAGAGCGTTGGCCTTTCTTATAGATCGGGACGATAACAGCAGATTTCCAGACGGACGGAAATACTCCTGTACGATATGACATGTTAAAGAGCAGGCACAAGGGATAGGACAGAGATGGCGCAAGCCATTTGAGAACCTCATTGGGTATGCCATCTTCGCCAGGGGACTTACAATTCTTCAGGAGTTTGAGGTGCTTACAGACGGTAGCAGTCGTGGTAACGACGCGTGTGAGTGGTGCGCTAAGTTCAGGGGCTGGGGACAGCGATGGAATGACCCAATTCGGATCTTCCGGAATGCCGGATGAAACAAACTGCTTGTTCAGTGTGTCTGCAATCGCCTTCACATCGTGCTGGCGGTTGCCATTGGAGACCGTCAGGTACTGGATTGGCGCGCGGGAGGTCCCGCGGCACTGGTTGCGAATGAATTGGTGGAGTGATGGGCGATCGGGGGAGGAGAGTGTTGCAGAAAGAGAGTTTAGAAAGGAGCGGTGTGAGGTACGAGAAAGGTGCTTGACGAAGTTGCGTTGAACTCGGTAAGCCTCCCGGTTAACCGGCGTTGGGAATTTCTTGTAGATGCTGAAAAGATCACGCTTGCGCTTCACTTCAGATACGAGGGACCGTGTCACCCATGGGGGACTAGATGTCGAGGATGTTGGGTTGGAATGTTTCCGGTTGTTGTAGCCGATAGCAAAGTTAGAGAGGTGCTGTTGGAACCCTCGTTCAAGGACGGCTGCAAAGTGATCTACCGCGGCGTCAACAGTTGGAGAGCCTTCTGGTTGCAGAAACGACCAGTCGTGGCAGGAGAAATCAGCGTTCATAGAGTCCCAGCACTGAGAGGGAACTCGACGGAAGCGATATGGGAACGGTTTGCGAGAAGGAAGTGGCAGGTCTGGATCCGAGGGCAATGAGACGGCGAACTGGCATGAAACCATGAGATGGTCCGAGGAGCCAAGAGCGCAAGCTGTGTGAACGTCCGTCGCCAGCAGGGGTTGGTTCGTGAAGACAAGGTCTAGACATGACTGCGATGATACCTCATTCGATACCAACCTCAGAACTTCGCATTTTTCGAAATATTGGACCAGGCTGCCACCTTAAACAGGGTCAAAACTCCCCTAGATAGGGGTCATAACTACCTTAGCCTCCTTCAACCTGGCCATACTCCCCTGGAGCGAAGTCAGAACCGCCTTTAGCCGGACAGCCTTTCAGTTCCACGGCATTGGCATAACAAGGTTTCGCGGGGTTCGACGGCTGTGAGGTAACCACGAAAAACGCTACGAAAATCGGTTGATTCAGAGGTTACGCAAAGGTGGTAGCCTCGATATTTCGGAGTACGGGAAACCGGCCTCCGCAGCCAGACATGCACGCTCTACAGTCCATTCATTGGAAACTGGCACCCTAACTTTTTGGTGTCTCTCTCACATAGTTTTAGATATCGTGAAAACAACAGTACAACCTGCATTGTGTGACCCGTGCAAGTACTCCTTGCCACATTTGAGGCAAGAAAAGTCCAAGAACAGGGAAATAGAAATTCAGCAAGGTTTTACAAAATTAGGACAGGTATGCCATGGCAAAATGTATGGAGAAGCAGATCCAAACCCAGATTTTTGAGATTTAATGTGGGTTTTTGATCCTCAATTCGGCCCAAATCCGACTTTCAAAAGCCAGCGGGCCAGTTTCCGATGAATGGACTGTAAGTGTAACACAATACGCAGGTGTCATACATTCCTGCGTGGCAGTACGGTGACTTCAACGAGAGTACTTTTTTCGTGACTCAGCTCCTTTTCAGTCGAAAGTTGATGCGCTTACAGTCCATTTCAAAACTATAGACGCGTAGGGTTTTTGAAATATTTCAAATTTGGCTGGTGCTTTTTGAGAATAGTTTTCGGTATATTGCTCAGGACCGCTCCACAATTACTCTCACATAGCTTCTGAACGATTGGATAACAGACGCCCAATTTGGAAAAATTTATGCACAAAGTGATCACAGATTTTATGTGGTATAGATGCTGGCATAACGGTTCTTGCCTAGGTACGCGTCTATAGTTTTGAAATGGACTGTAGAGGCCGTTATGGCCATAATAATTATTACGATTTTTTTTGTTGCGCGCAATCTCCCTTATGTTCTTATCCATATTTTTTAATCCTCAAATGTTGACCTTACGTACTACTCAGTTCTGACTGACAGTCTGCCAACGTAACGAGATCTCATGCATGCAGCCAGATAGTGCGACAACAATGCACTGTATCATGTACGGACACTATACTGACTGAAATATCTCATTACCTTGGCGGACTGTTAGTCATAACTCATAACTTACCGGTCCATATGATTCTGTTTCTGATTTCAGCCAAGTAGCTGGGCTTCTTCAACAGCCGGGTGATGTAGGCGAGACGCTGGCCAGTGACTGCTCTGCTCGCTGCAACGACTCATCGTCGACGGCGTGAGAGCAGGACCGGTGTCCTCTTCTCCCGACCGAAGTCACCGCATCCCTCTCGCGCTCGTCGGGAAACGTCGCCGCAGCTCGCCGCCCCAGACCGCTGCAGCGGATCAACTCAAGCATCCCTTGTTTGTTTGTTTGTTTGTATTCTCTGTGTTTTTCTACTTTTATTGCTTTGCTTTGCGAAGAAATAATACAACCGCGTGCGCGCTCGCGTGTGTGAGGAATGTGTAGTGCAATTCAACACGTATCAATGGCGGCTGACATTTGCAGATGGTCGCGGTCATGCGGAGTCCATTGATAAAAAAAACCCTTGGCATCTTAGTCTGAGTGAATGTGGACCAAGCCTGGTTATGTCATAGCAAAGACTGTTCAGGGGTGGGTTTTTCTTGGGAGGGTGGTGGGGGTGGGGGGCGGCTGCTTGTCCTTGTCACTCTGACGTTTTGAAAAGTTTAGTTTTCCTGAAGAAGTTGCTTATTGGCATCTTCATTAGACGAAGGTCTCCTCGAAACTCCACAGCCTCATTCAATGGGCCATGGGAGAGGTGGATAAGTTAAGAATCGCTTGAAGTATGTCCACGAAAAATAGGGAGGTTCTGCTATACGTGAAACGTAGAGAAATCACGTAGAGAGCAGGTGTCTGGGTTAGAGTCTACGGCTTCGCGTGTTTTGGCTCCAGATTTCTACGCGGAGATGGGGTTCTCTACGTTGTGGCACACGCAGAGAAAATGCGTACGGATTTGCTGGGTATCGATCAACTGCATGCAGAAAACTGCCAAATATGGAAGGGGAAATTCCCAGTACACATTCCACGTGACTTCTCTAGGTGACACCAAGAGTACATAACTCCCGGGGGTTATGTACTCTTGGTGACACGTAGAGCAGAACAGCATTTCTTTACGTTACGGGAACGCGAAGAAAGTTCGCGTGATTCTTTGCGTCGCGTTCCCAAAACGTAGAGCAGAACCTCCCTATTGCCGTGCTTTCTGTAGTGTGCGCTGCATTGGAGGCGGGGCCGGAGCATCAAGTGCGCGCGAGCGTTCACACGCCGCCGAGTACCAGTTCAGTTAGCTGAGCAAAAATGATTCACGATGACGACAAGAATAGCCAAAGGTTCAGAGCTAGCTCTTTTGCCTTATTTCATGCATGCAGTTTGCAGTCCAGATACCGTATTTGTGGAAAGAAGTAGTGTCTTTTTGCATGTGTGCGTATACGTATTTGTGTACATGTTTGGTTGTGGTTTATGTACATATTATTATTGTTTATACACAGCTGCACGTATAAGCCCCACACACAGATGTTTGTTCAGGAAAGTTCACATTCGACGTAACGCTAGCGCGCTGGCGGTATATCCAGGTATTATGGGATGAAAGAAAAGCTGAAAAAAGCTGAAAACTGAAATACTCGCGATACCTTGTGTATGCATTTCCGACCGAAAATACCATTGCTCTGACGAATGCATTAATAATGGCGAGTCTGCCCGCAGCCACTGAACCCGCTCCATTTTTTCTTTTATTTTTATTTCTCTCCTCAACTTCTCCTTCCTCATAAGCTGTTGACGGAGACTCCCTCGATTTAGGCTATTACCTATATAAAGACCTGTGGAGAATCCATAAATACAAAATACAAGTGGACTCGGATGGAGAGCCAAGGATGAATGTATAGTAAAAAAAGGACCAAGGAACTACAAGTTACGCTATAATGTCCACTAACACCACCAGTTACATGTACTAAACAATCAGCTCATGCGAAAACACCTCCAAGATGTCACGGCTTGAGCTGTTACCCAGTTAGATGTAGAACGTCAGTATCGTCGTCGGTCAGTGTCGTGCGATGTTATCGCATGAGCTGATTGGTTAGCAACTGGTGGTGTTAGTGGACAATAGCGTAACTTGTAGTTCCTTGGTGCGCTTTCCAACGGCCAAAGAGAGTTGGAAAGCTTGTGTCTTTGTGGGTAACTAATACTTGAACATTTGGGGCTCATGTAAAATCGCACTGATTTTGGGATTTCCCTGCAACTTTTTGCTTCAGCAAAAATGTTGTGCTTGACCGCATTCCTGTCACTTCGCAGTGGCTTTTCGTTGGTGCAGTTTGTATCCCACCCTCCCACCCCTGACTTCTGGGTGTGTGTTTATCGATAGTCTTTTTGCTGACGACACTGCTCTGATGTGCTCCGACAGCTCGGCAGACAACCTCACGGCCTCCATGCAGTCCGGGGTCAACGCTACAGTAACATGGATGGAAACCTGGAAACTGAAGCCTAACCTCGCCAAAACCGAGGCCATGTTCTTCTCTCCCTCGCCCCCCACTCAGCTGCTGTATTTTCCTGGTCTAAATAGTACACCTATTAAAGTTGTTAACGAGCACAAGCACCTGGGCGTTATTCTCGACCGCCAACTCTCCTGGTCTCCACAAGTCCAGTCTGTGTGCAAGCGTGCGAGTGCGTCCTTAGGTATGCTACAACCCCACTGCCAACACTTGAATGATAACTGCAGAAAATTGTTCTTTAAGTCGTACATTTTGCCTATATTTGACTATTGCGATATAGCTTGGTGCGGGTTGTCTCAGACTTTACTCCACAGACTGGAAGTACATCAACGCTTGCTTCTGAAAATTCTGTTTCGAAAAGACCAAACATTTGCCTCCCTTTGTCTTTATAAACTTGCTTCCACGCACCCTCTTCTTGCCCGACATCAGCAGCATCTTTGTATCCTTGTGCAAAAAATCTTCCTAGCCCAAGTCCCGAAACATATTGCCAAGTACAACTGGTTTGTTACCACTAGACCAACACGCAATGCCTTATCACTGCCCCGAGCTAGTTCCTCTCTGTTTTTGAAATCCCCTTTCTTCTCAGCATACTCCCTTTGGTCTAACCTGCCTACTAGCATTAAGACATGCCAGGATATCAGGAAATTCAAAGTCCAGCTTTCCACACTGTCTCATCCGAAGTGATCCCATGTATTACTAATGTGCCTCCCTTTCTTTTTCTCTCCCTATCTCCTTTCCCTCTCTGACAGCATCTTTCTTTTTCTCCCTTTTAGCTTGCCGTGGTTGGCTATCACCTGACCTCTCATGTTTATTGGCAGTCTTCGGACGGGCCAGGAGATGTTGAATAAATAAATAAATAAATAAATAAATATTATCTTATTGGCCATGTGGCTGTGGCAGTTACGACTGCTTTTCTTTTTTAGTTAAAAAAAACATACAACCTAGGGGTGGTGTGTGCGTCTCGGGCCTTTGTATGGTTACGTACAGCTTCAGATTGTATGGCTAGTGCCAGGGGAGTTCAATTGAATCCGCATGGGAAGAATACTACTGTATTGTGATTGAACTGAAGCTGGATGATGACCGTGTGGTGAGTGTGTGGGGTTTTTCAAGATACCGTCCTGGGGCAGGGATGTAGGCCCTTTAGCTTGGACGGGTGTTGTTACATTCATTGTGACATCTTGTCGTTTTCTGTGTGCTTAGCTGTGCGACTAGCAGCAGTATCTTGTGCTTATTTTTCTTATCTCTATGCATCCAATTAATTAAAAAAAATCAGGAAGAGGATATAATATCAATAAATAAAGCCATTGCCGAGCCACCGTGCTCACAGCAGAGACTTCTGTGTGTGTTATTGTCGTGAAAGTGGACCACAAAGACGGTCCCTTTTCTTTCTTATAAATTGATCCTTGGCTCTCCATCCGAATAATAATTCAAGTGGTTGTTTGGAGGCGGTGAGAAAACAGTTTCGCAATCGGTACCTTCGTACGCAGCAATGCAAATCCACACAATTCAGTAGACACTTCCTTCTATCAAACGTTTTCTTTCCCTTCTCTTCAGGATAGTGCAGGAAATGTTGGAAATTCAACACTTCAACATAGGCGATAAAAGTGTTAAAAGCTCAAAAACATTATTTTTATCGCCTTTGTTGAAGTTGAAGTGTTGATTTTTTCTTTCTTTTTCTATTACATAAATAATCGACGCAGAGACAACAATTTTATAATAGCTATAAAGAGAACAAATTCTGCTGTCATCGCCACACTACAACTTGCTGGGTTTTTTTCATCTAAATGTCCCGCTATTATCTGCAGAGGTGATTTCTTCCCTCGTCGATTTCTTTCCTGCTTTTATACCTCGATATTTAGGTACTTGTTTCCCTTCTTCCCATGCTTCATCTTCCACTCTCCTCTCCCCCATTTCCCCATTTTTCTTGCGATATTTATGTGGGAGACTTCCGTGATAAGCATCCATTTGCTTTTGGAGAATCCTTTTAAATAAATACAATACAATACAATACAATACAACAAAGTCATGAAGGTTTACCAAAATCGATTTTCTTGTCACAATCATCAGTGGAAAGCCGTGACTGAAGAATAACCATGCTAAATCAATAATTTATATACATTCAATAATGTGTTACGAGAACAAAACAAAGTGCTGAAATAGAATGAGGGAAGGTGAGACAATAGAAGTAAAGTGAGAGCTAAGTGCAACAGGGTGAGGAACTAATTGCAACGCTAGAACTGTGTATTGAGACAAACAATCATGTTGTGCACCTACGAAAACAATCTTAACGCAACTACATGATCTTTGTAAGCAGAAGTTATAGTATAGTTATAGTTATGTGTTTTTCCAAATTTCCAACATTCCCTTAAGAGAAGGGAAAGAAAACGTTTGATAGAAGGAAGTGTCTACTGAATTGTGTGGATTTGCGTTGTTGCATGCGAAGGTACCGATTGCGAAATAATAATAAGGAATTTAATTAAGACTCGGATGGAGACCCAAGGAATAATTTATACAAAAGAAAAGGACCAAGAAACTACAAGTTACGCTATAATGTCCACTAACACCACCAGGTACTAAACAATCAGCTCATGCGACCGACGACACTGACCGACAGTACTGACGTTCTACAACTAACTGGCTAATAACAGCTCTAGCACATCTTGGATGCGCACTCCAACAGCCTTCCAACTTACTTGGAAGGTTCTAAGTTATAGAAATATCAAGTTGTGTGGAATGTTGCTTTGCGTCCTTGAATCGTGGTTTGACCGCATTGTCCAATAGTCTTGCCAGTATCGTCGTCGACATGCATGAACATCCGCCAACGCCCTTCACAGTTGAGACTTTCAGCTCATGCTTGTCTTGGTTGCGCTCACCTTCCCCTCCTTATGTTATTTCTATAACTTAGAACCTTCCAAGTTGGAAGGCTGTTGGAGTGCGCATCCAAGATGTGCTAGAGTTGTTAGCCAGTTAGTTGTAGAACGTCAGTACCGTCGGTCAGTGTCGCGCAATGTTATCGCATG